ATTGCTCCATCCAAAGAAGCACGCAATTGCAAGGGCTTGCATGGTCCCCAAGGGCCGCTGCCGCGCTCGCCGCTCGCCCCGCTCGCCGCCGCCGAACATGCAAGCCCTTGCAATTGCTCCATCCGAAGAAGCACGCAATTGCAAGGGCTTGCATGGTCCCCAAGGGCCGCTGCCGCGCTCGCCGCTCGCCCCGCTCGCCGCCGCCGAACATGCAAGCCCTTGCAATTGCTCCATCCGAAGAAGCACGCAATTGCAAGGGCTTGCATGGTCCCCAAGGGCCGCTGTCGCGCTCCCCGCTGCCGCCGCCGAACATGCAAGCCCTTACAACTGCTCCAGACGAAGAAGCAAGCGGCTGGGAGACCGCGGCGGCGTCTACCTCCTGCGCCCGTCAGCTGGCGCGGTGCGGTGGGAGGTCGCATTCGCTCCATAAGACGCACAGACATTTTCCCCCATCTTTTGGGGGAGAAAAAGTGCGTCTTATGGTGCGAAAAATACGGTATTCATTATTTTTGGCAGTTTCTGTCAGAAAGGGACATAGTGTGTGAATATTTGTGTTTTTCTGTGAGAGTGATTAGTAAGTGAAAGAATTAACTTTTAAGTGGCTATATTTTGAAAGCAATTAATTACTAGAAATTTGTGTGTGTGTGTCTCTGTCTGTCTGTCTGTCTGTCTGTCTATCTATCTATCTTATCTATCTCCTATATGTATACGTATGGTTTGGGTATATGGTTATATTACACACATTTCCTGGGCAATGAGTGGGTGAAGAACAAATCTTCAGAACTGGTTTTAGTGCTGTTAAGAAACCAACAGGATCCCAAGCAGGCAATGCAAAACATGGTGCTTTGTGTTTATGGGGTTTTTAATTTTTTTTAAGAATTTAAGAATCATCTTAAATTCAGAGTCATGTTTTAAATAAAGCAAGTAAACAGCATGTTATACCTCTACCGGCAAGCTTGCATGTGTGTTTTTCTTAATATCTCCTTCTAATTTTCTTTTCTGCAGAATTTTGGGAATGTTGCAGTTGATCTGAAATATCCACAGTGCCTCTGAAGAAAAGAACACTCAGGGAATGTTTACAGCTGGATATTTTTAATGTTCATGAGATGTCTCCTAGAACTGCTCTCCTGATGCCATGGATATTCTGCTTCTTAAAGCACTGGTGTTGGTCTTGGTCAGTTGTTTTACCGGGCTTCTTTACTACCACCCCAGCCTTACTTTTAAGTGGGAAAGAGCAATTTTCAAAAAACCAAATTTCATAGTAATTTTGGCAGACGATATTGGATGGGGAGATTTTGGAGCCAACTGGGACGTAAAAAAAGGCACACCTAATTTGGATAAGATAGCCCAAGAAGGAATGAGGTGAGTTTTAAATGATTCTCTAGCATTCACATTTATTTACCACATATTTAGAGGGTGTAGACGATTGTTTAAATGCTACCGGATTATAGGACTGTGCCTATACTTGTGTATTTTTGCTTGCTTATTGATTTATCACATTTAGATTGTGCACAATCAAAAGCATACTTTCAATAGCTTATATCATATGACAAAATGAGAGGGTAACAATAAACATGGAAGATTCATAAAATTAAAATTAAAAAATAACAGAAACATTCCAAGCAGTATGTTGTATCAGCCTCCTGTGAAAAAACTGGTTTTAGCAATCTCCAGAAAGCAACTAGAGTTGGGTCCAAACACACTTCCCGTAGGAGGTCATTCCAGAGAGCCAACCCAATGATGGGAAAAAATGGCTCTGGGCTCCACGACCTCCCCAAAATGGCGGAAAACCCATTGCTTCTTGTGGCATGATTGAAATGGTTGAGCCAATTCCAATAGAAAGATGTGGCCTTGAAGGATCTTTGGAGATAATAATTTCAGAGTTATTTTCAATAAACTTGGTTTATTTATGTCTGAAATTTATATGCTGCTAAACTATAAAATAAAGATATATTAGAATGATATAAAAGTAAAATAGAAAGAATTAAATAAGAAAACATAAATGCCAGAGCACAACAAGCATTCATTTCTTAGCCACTGAGTATCCAAAAAAAACCCCGAATACCCACAGCATTAATCCCACTTTGCAGAAAGACACATCATATGGTCAGCCCACCCAAAACTTTGTAAAACAGCCAGATAATTGCTTTCAAATGCAAATGGGAGATAAATTAATTTCATAAATATAGGACCTCTGGTGAAGGTTGATTACAAATAGATCGTTACTCATTTGGACTACTGCAAGGCTTGAAAGTCCCTTTGAAGAGGAGTGAGAAACTGTAGCAACTCCAGAATGTGGAGGCTATACAGCTGGCAGATCAGTCCAGCTGTTGCCAAGGGTGACACCAACTTTAAGGACATTATATTGCTTCTGATAAAGTCTACATGGCATAGTATGATACATCTGGCACCATCTCAGCAACATTGAATGGGCTAATCTGGTTCAGACAGTTAGAGAGGAATGTCTAGAACCTTTCCCTCTCAGTGAAAAGTGCATTGGAAGTAGGCTAGATGGCACGTTCCCATAGTTGAGAGTATATTTATTTATTCCATCCTATAAGATGGTTGAAACTATTATTACTACCAAGGCCACACTCATGGTTGGCATTCATCCATATTTTTATTTTATTTTTCTTTACTCTTTTCTCCTTATTTATTTTTGCTTTATTTTTCATCATCCACGGTCTTAATTAATGGAGGAATATCAACAAATATGATAACAATGAAATTGTATGCATACTCATTAATTTGGGTTAGTTTATTCTTTTCTCCTGACTTTTCCCTTTTCTGGTAAGTATCCTTGAGGGAGATGGATGGTCTAGAAATATGTAATATAAATAAAGTAAATATCCACAATAGATGTACACACAACTTATTGGCAGTGAGATGGGGATCTTTCATGATTGGTTTCATCAAGAGATGGCACCCCTAAGTTGACCTAATGTAGAAGGAAGACATTGTATAGATTTTTCATCTGGGTTTACACATTTTTTTCCATTGATACCTACTTTTTTTTCTCACTATCTACTCAATTTTTTGTTGTGTGGAATGATGGTGAAACTTCAAGGTCATATTCCTTTGGGGTAAATAGGTTGGTGTTATTATCATTATCATCATAGTTGTCATCATTGTTATCTAAACTTGTATGCTGCCCAACTTTCAACATTTCTGGGTGGCTTATGCAGTAGAATTTGAAAGGGTTAAAGAGCAATTTCCAATATTTTACTGGCACATTTCCCCCCCCCCCCCATGCTCAATTTTTAAAAAACTGTAAGTTGCTTAATAACTTGCATTTCTCTAAACGTGAGAGGCAATTAGTTTGAACCATTTCTTTTACAGCTACAAATGCTAATCGTGTGACGTGATTTAATATAAAGATGCCTCCTTTTAGCGAATAGTTGTTTTGTAGGATGTACCAAGAATTTATTGCTCCTGTAAAGACGTCAGTTCTGGCTATTAAAACCTCCTCAGGCAAATGGTCAAACAAGGAGGTGAGATAGCACTAGTGATTGAGACTTCTGTTTGCTTAGTGTACACATGTTTATCTTGTGTCATCTGTCTTGAACATATTTGCTTCATACCATTTTGGCACGTACACAAATATTAGAGAGCAGCTGGTCATCCTTCTTTCTACTAGTTGTAGCTCATTTTCCTTTAATATATAGGCCAACCATGTGTTTGATTTTTCTCTTGTTTTTTCAGAATAGTAATAGCTCTTAGACTGATATACCAATAGTGCTTTACAGCCCTCTCTAAACAGTTTACAGAGTCAGCATGTGGCCCCCAACAATCTGGGTCCTCATTTTACCGACCTCGGAAGGATGGAAGGTTGAGTCAACTTTGAGCTGGTCAGGATTGAACTCCAGACTGTGGGCACAGTTAATCTGCAATATTGCATTCTAACCACTGTACCACTATGGCTCTTGTTTTTGCAGAACCATATGCGAGCAGTATATATATATTGAGACATGAGTTCTCCCCTCTCTTGCATTATTTTGTTTATTTTTCTATTTTGATTGGTCATAGAACTGCAGCGTAGAATCCAAATAGCCTATTTCAGTTCTGTACAACATTTCAAACACATGGTAACCTTTCCAGACTTGCAGACCACACCAAGCCATCTCGATAGAAGGGAACATTTGTAGCTCAGGATTGAACTGTGGGGTCCTTGGTGCTCTCTCAGCTTGGTTGTTTTCTTGTAGACATTTCATTACCAAACTAGGTAATATCATCAGTGCTAATAGAGAGTGAGGTTGCTCTCATTTTATACACTTTCCCTGTCAGTGTTGACTGGAGTGGTCTTGGTGGTTTCTTGATTGGGCTGTTTTTTACTGTTTGGCAGTTCCTTAATTTAGGTATTGTTTCCTTCTTGATTGTTGGTCCCATGTTAATCTTGGTGTTAACCTCTACAATCAATCCACATTCGTGGCAGGAGGTATTCAGTTCCTACATGATTATTTCACTCATCCCAGTCTCTCTCTCCTCCCCTGTTTCCTTTCCTTAACCTGGTCAACTCCTCTGGTATGGAGAAGAGAATACATATACATTAGGGATTATAGCAGGCATGTCAAACTCGTGACGTCACGTGACGTATCGGAGCTTTTTCGCCATTGCCGGCAATGGGGTGGGCGCGGCTCTGGTATGATGAAACCAGGCCACGGGCCGGCAGTTTGACACCCCTGCATTATAGGAATAAACCTGATGAAGTTGGAACTGGTGTTTTCCACCCCAGACAGAACTGTTATGTCAACATTGATCTGATGCCTTCCAATCCTCATTTCCACCCCAGACAGACCTGTTATATTAACATTGATCCAATAGCTTCCAATCTCAAGTTTGTGAAAAAAGTAAATGCAGAAAACACTAGACTTACCAAAGGCCCCAGTTATAAAGTAATAGTTGAACTCGGGAATTCTGAGCTCACTGCTATACTCTTATTAGTATAGCATATACTCTTAGTATACTTAGTCTTACTCAGAGAATGAAATGCTTATTAATGTTCAGTCAAATGCTTTTACCCTTTCAATATAATTAATCAGATTCCAAAAATCTGTTGATTACAGATTCCCTCACAATCTCCCATCATGCAATAATCCATCCAAGACATCATGCAAATCCATCCAAATCATTGTACTGATTTCTTTCCTGTTGCATTTATTTTTTGATTTTTTCACTTGCAACACATTATAGCCAATTTTTCTCATTAATTGTTTCAGCTTTATTTTATGCACAACAGGAGTTTTAAAATATGCCCAGGATAAATGAGTTGTGCAATCCACTCAATAGGATAACTGCAAAGAGGATATAAAAACTAGAATCATCTCTTATAAAGATTTAAAATTGTCACGTTGTTATGAATTATTTCAGTCAAATAGAATGGCTAAGTTGTAACGTGGATTGTTTTATCTGGAGAATGTACACTGTGAGAGACAGTTTGTTCAGTGGTAAAGGCACTAGGCTAGAAACCAGGAGACTACTGTGAGTTCTCCTCCCCCCCCCTCATGTATGGACTTGTCCAGGTAGTCATCAGAATTTTAGGAAAGCCAGTTTGGTATAGTAGTTAAAGATACTGGACTAGAAACTAGCAGATTCTGAGTTCTAATTCTACTAGCCAGCTGAGTGATTTACAACTGAGTGATTTGAGGCTAATCGTTCTCTTTTACTCCTGGGAAGAAAGCAATGGCAAACACTTCTGGAAAAGAGTCATAATAACATAGTTGAAGCCCCCTCCCTCCCAATATAGTATTTGAATACACCGAGTTATAATTAGTTTAATAATCTGTGCCAAGCAAACTCTTCTTATAAATCCAGGACATGAGAATGTAAATTTTTTTCATACTTATTTCTTCAACTATTTTGGGGTGCAGCTGTGAATACTTCTTTCAATAACTGCTCATGTTGATCTGTAGCTAATGTATGCTAAAGTTCAAAATTTGGTAGGGTACTGGACTGGAAAAGATTGTTGTAGGCAGAATTGTTAGCACAGCTAATTAATGTTATGAATTTTTTGCTCCATTTTTTACGGTCAAAGCTACTTAAAAAAAAACCCATTCACATGATAAAATATTTTTTCTATATATAAATCTCCTTAATCCTGCATGAAAAAAAAGACTATATTGTGATCTCTTGAGATTTTAAAATTTTGGGTTAACTGACATTTTCCTCTTTGTAGTGAATTGTTGATGTAGAGGATAACCTTCATCTTGAAAAAAAGTCTGATGACTCGCCCATTATATGAGGCCATTGTCAAGAATGTTTGTCCTGTGCTTTGAACCTTCAGGCCTTTGATGTCATTACATGGAATAAATTACCCGTTAACTAGATTAATAACCACATCTCCATTTCTAAGTTTCCATAGCCCAAAAACTTAGTTTGGACATTCTACATCCCAAAGTCTGTAATGGGAGATATTTCAAAAATAAATCAATCACATTAGTTGCATGAAGCAGCGCTTTTAAAGAATGAGTTTTTAGGGACATTTGGATACTGCCAGTCTGACTGAAAATGTCATCTTATTGGCAGATTTATCCCCTAGGAAGAACTTAGCATTGATTTTCCCTTGGGTGTCCCATGAACATTAGCAGTCTTGAGAAGCTGAGTTGGCAAACATTCCATACATCCCACATTTGCACTAATTCTGAAGGAATGATTTTTGTCTGTGTACATTTGAACATTCTGGGCACTTTCCCACTTCTAAAGGCTGATTTAGAATTGCCCTCAACTGCCCATAGCCATCGCTGCATACCTATGTTGCAAAGTAGTTGATGGGTAAGCGGAGGCTGCAGAAGGCTGCAGATGGGCCGACGTAAACACCACCCGAATCTCAACTGTGTATTGTGCGGAGACGTGCACCCTGCATGCTGGTTGGTTCTGACTTCCTACTAGGAGGTGGGGGAAGGCAAAATGTATTCACCAGGAAATGTTAAAATTTGCTGACTTGTAAAAAGAACACCTATGCAACCATCCCCAAACAACAGATGCGTACAGTACATTCCGTGCAGTCTGGTGGAGCAGAAGTCTGCTCCAGCCTTAAGACAATACTGTACATGATATAAATATTGCAAGCTTAATGCTCATGTAAGTCAATAAAAATTCATGAAAGAAATAACAGTGCTCCAGATCCATAGATGCAAAAGTGCACAGTGTGCATGACAATGAGGCTGAAAAAAAGGAAGCACATATTTCAGCATCAAACCACAATAACCAAGTAGCCTCTGTCAGCCTGGCCTACAGTAATCTGCTCTAAGAAATAAAAAAAATAACTACACTTAGATACCTTGCCATAAACCAACTCAAGAATATTTTGTTTCAAAATAAAAGGAGCATAATAAATGAAAAATAATAGGAATCTTTTCCTCCTTTTTCTAGATTTGTAGATTTCCATTCAGCTGCATCTACCTGTTCCCCATCACGTGCTTCTCTGCTTACAGGACGTCTCGGCCTTCGTAATGGCGTCACCCATAATTTTGCTATGACTTCAGTGGCAGGCCTTCCATTGAACGAGACAATATTGGCAGAAGTTCTGAAAGAAGCTGGCTACCTCACTGCTATGATAGGTAATTTAACCGCGCCCTGAAAGAAAACTTAAATTGATCCCATTTATAAGCTGTATATATGCTGGTCTATGATCAAAATGAAGATTTGATTGATTACTGGAAAAGAGATACCAGTAAGTTATTTCAGTTGGAAATGTGCATAGAAGGCCAGAGTTTCCTCAGGTAATTTGGTAATATTTGCCATACCTTTGCAGCAGAAATCATCTTGGATCATGAATCTAGGGAAGTGCATGTTTTGGTTTTTTTACATCATCTAGGTCTAATTCTCAAAGAAGCATCAGCTCCTTGATTGCAAAGTGTATCCCAAGGTATTCTGGCTTGGCATGAATATGCCCATAGACACTTTCACTGAGATAGCCAGGAAACCCAGCAGCATTGCTAAATTCCTTGCATAGTGTATCTTGTCTGTGAGAGGACAATTCCTATAGATTGTCTTCCAATCATAGTTTGCTATCACTCTTTCAGAAATCTTTGTATTTGGCAGTTTGCCCTTAAGGTTTCTTCCAGGATCTTAGTAAAGTTCCTCTCCCAATAAATTTAAGGTTTTAAAAAATTTTCTGCTTTATCTTTGGATTCTATTGCTGGTTAAATATTGCCCTTTTAATTATGTGTTAGTTTGCATATTGTTGTAAGCTATTTGACAATATTTACAAAGGAAGATGGGGTGTCTTTCTCATGCTATATGCAAACTGGCCTTAAGGCCCACCTTTATTGCATAAGCATTTGATATCCTGGAAAGTCACTGCATTCAGAATATCTGGGTGCTGAGAGAAAGATGCACTTTCCCTAGGATGCAAATTGGTGAGGTAATTTAAGATGTAATGAAAGTGAATCATTTGTAGGTCTGGGTTTTATGCTGAGAATGGGGTTGTTTTTCTTCTGTTTTTATGATAGGATATATCATATTTCCTATGGATATTTTCTGATTGGGATTCCTTAGATCACAGTTCTTATGCAATTTTATCTATTTATACTGCCTTATTGCTTTTACAAAGTGGCAAACATATCCAACACACTTTTCTTTTCGTATTTTCCCCACAACAACAATCCTGTGAGGTGGGTTGGGCTGAGAAAAAATGATTGTCCCAAAGTCATCCAAGCTGGCTTTCATGACTAAGATGGGACTTGAATTCATGATCTCCTGCTTTCTAACCTGTTGCCTTAACCATTAGTCTAAGCTGGCTTTTTTATTACAAATGTTATCCTAAAACAAAAAAATAGGCTTGTTTTTTTTAATATTAACTAGACTCAATGATTTTGATGAGTCAGGATAATATGGTTTGTGAATTTTGGTCCTGTCCTCATTTTCTCAACTAATTGCCCAGAGCTATAGTAGCCAATATTAAATATTTTCCACACTCACTATTTTGCATTGACACATTTTAGGTGCTGATACTTTTCTGTTCCACATCACTTCTTTATAGGGAAATGGCACTTGGGACATCATGGCTCTTTCCATCCCAGTTTTCGTGGTAAGACGTCTATCTATACTTATTTCCTCCTGCTAAAATGCCAAGGTTGTTCTAGTTGAAATTGCAATTTCATAAAAGTGAATGCTTTGATACACATACCTTCCACATAGGTAACTAGGATATTCTGGATAGAAAGCAGGATATGCAAGAATGTAGCTTTTCCTTATCCTGCTAGTTTTTGTAAGGAGAAGAATAAACTTGCTTTTATACAAGGAAGTATTTTAATCTTATATAAGGTCCATGACCACAACAAAACAAATATATAGATACATGGATATGTATATTTTTAATCCTGTAAACTCCAAACAAGCTCTTAGTTTTGATCAGCATTAATATTTCATCCAAAATTCTTCTTTGACTGCAGGTATATTAACTAGGTTCACATGCTAGCTGTGATTTGCCTAACCATCATTTATGAAATAAATAAATCTTAATTTGCTAGGTTCATACAGCAGGCTTAGTTATAAATCCAGTCTGCACCGGATAACCTTTTGGTAGGTTTGAGTTTATAGTGGTTTGAATGACAATGGAAAAATAAGTGGAGTCATCTTACACATGTGATTCTTTTTTAGAAATAGTTGGTTTTTCTTCCTTTTTTTAAATTGTATTGAATCTATTTGAGGACTTACAGTACAGTTTTTGTGTATTTCCTTCCTTATATTAGCAAAAAGTTGCCACCAATGGCAGTTTAAGTCAGGACTCAAGTGGGGACAAAAATGTGTATTGGGCTCTGCTTGGAGCCCTAGGCTAACAGATTGCTCAACTGTTGTCTGCAAGCAACTGATGGCTGGCAATACACAGTGTACTAAGCCAAAATGAAACAGGTTACTTAATACAATGTGTTAAGTGGTTTTATCTTTCTCAGTCCAGTAGCTTTTTTAAAATTCCACATTTCGTAAATTATTGGGAGGGGGGGAAAGATAAAAGAGATAGATAATCTGTATACTACTAAAACTTTCCTACTGCTTGTCTGCTTGTAACCTTCAATTAGCCCAAATGGTGCATCATAGTGCAAACATTTTTCAATCAAGGTACCTCAAATCTGCTACGTTAAAGAATCTGTACAGAATCCATGACCCATTTACTCCTATGTAATTGAAATTTGAAAAAACTTCACGCCAGTTGTATTTGCAAAGTTGTAACCAAAGCAACAATGCTAAAATCACATGACTATGATTTCCAACACTCCCTGTCAGCTTCCCACAAGCAAAGTGAATGGGGAAACCAACAGGAAGTCAGAAGTTGCTTCCGTTCCCACTGCTTTTTTTTTTGCCTGCCTTTGGACTTTCTGTTTCTCTGTTTAGATAACGAAATATCTCTGAAATATTGACCCAGTGGGTCATGGATGGTCTAGTGTAAAATACATTTGTCTAGTACACATTCTGGTGAGAGAAAAGTTCCCTGAGGATGAGTTCCAGCACAAATCCAAAAGCTCGGAAGACTAAATCTCTGGTGCTGGTGATCAACCCAGATTGGATCCTGCAACATTATCCTGGGTCACACATATTTGCCTTCACTTGTTCAGTGCAATTGTAAGAAATTCAATAATGACCCAATGGGTCATGGGTTGTCTAGTACATAGTACAGTACCATGTTTTCCCTGAAAATAAGGCCTACCTCGAAAACAAACCCTAGCTTGATTTTTTGGGGTGGGCCTAATATAAGCACTACCCCAAAAATAAGCCCTAGTTTAGGGACGAGGCACACACCTAAAAATCAAGCTAGGGCGGGGGTGGGGGTGAGGCCTGGCTACCTTGCAGCCAGGCCTCTCCTCACCAGCTCACTTCTTCTGCGGCATCCCCAGGCCTGCATTTTTTGAGTCACAGGCCTTTCCGGAAGGCCTCTGCAGCCAAGAACCGAGCTATGGATTGAAGCCATAGCTTGGAACTCAGCTGCGTAGGCCTTCCTGCAAAATGCAGGCTGAGATGCAGTTGCAGAATGAAGCTGCTCCTTCGGCCCCAGAAGAAGTGGACCTGCTGGGTGGGGTTGTTGGTGCTAGAGGTGAGTAAGACATCCCCCGAAAATAAGACTGGTCCCTCTTTTGGAGGCAAAAAAAGACCCGTTCTTATTTTTGGTAATAACAGAGGTATGGTGTAGTAGTTAGAATGCAGTATTGCAGGCTAATTCTGCCAACTTCCAGCAGTTTTTACCAATTCAAGGTTGACTCAGCCTTCCATCCTTCTGAGGTCGGTAAAATGAGGACCCAGATTGTTGGGGACAATATGCTGACTCTGTAAACCGCTTAGAGAGGGCTGTAAAGCACTGTGAAGTGGGATATAAGTCTTAAGTGTTGTTGATAATACTGTGTCTTTTCTGTCAGTAATGAACCTAAACCTGCTTATGACTCTTAAATAACTCTAATAAAACCATGAGATCACAGTCAGTGCTTGAATGTTGACATGTATCCTGCTGAGACCTTGCAGTTGGGTTGCCACGGATGTGTATTTCATTTCAGACAAAACTGACCCTTTTGTTGAGATAACCAGGCATATCTTCATCTTGTGTCTTTTTGTTTCTAGGTTTTGATTTTTATTTTGGGATACCATATAGTCCTGATATGGGCTGTACTGACACTCCAGGTTATAACCTCCCTCCCTGCCCAGCTTGTCCCAGATGCTCCACAACAGTCAGGTATGTTTATTTATTGCTTATTGAATTTATATCCCAGCATGATGTAGTAACTCTTGGCAGCTCACAGAGTATCATGAAAACATTAAAACTTTCATAGTATGTTTGAAATTTCAGCTCAGTCACTAACAGAGTATCATGAAAACATTAAAACTTTCATAGTATGTTTGAAATTTCAGCTCAGTCACTAACAGAGTATCATGAAAACATTAAAACTTTCATAGTATGTTTGAAATTTCAACTCAGTCACTAACTTAGAACATCAAAAAATCCATGCACAATGAAAAGATCATCCCAAACTAAAAATAAAAATAATAAAACGATATTACAATGTGTACCATAAGTGGAACACCTTTCAAAATATTTCCATATTTTACATCTTCCTGAAAACTCTCAAGGTGTGGACTGGCCTGAATTCCATGAAATAGTTCCACTGGTACTACTACTAAGAAGCAGGACCTTCTAGCTTTGTTTTCCCTCATTCTGTGGAAGTGTAGGTCTACACAAAGTTTTCTCCTAAGCCAGCAGTCCCCAATCTTTCTAGCTTGGTGGCCCAGTGCGGGGGGGGGGGGG